AAAAAATCACTCCAAATATTTCTGCCCAGACCTAATTACTGTGAAATGTTTCTGTTGTACATTGCCCTTGGTCAGCCTTATCTCACACAGACCATTCTACCTACATCAGCAGGAGCTCAGGAGAGAGACGGCTTATCCTCCTGTCTGGAGGTCTCAGATTGCCGCCCCCGCACAATAGGAGTGGAGAGACTCCAGCCTGTCAGGTGATGTTGCTTATAAAAGGCGGATTTGTTCTGGCATTACAGAAATCCGAAGAACAACAACAAACCTGTCTGTGAATGCGATGTAACAGGTCTCGGCCAGGTACCACACACAGAAAAACAAGGGGAATCAGCTAACAAGGAGGCGGCAGCAATGCACTCATCTCAGATCGAAATGACCAAACATATGTATTGATCTCATATGGAAAAAACTGACAGGCCCGTGGTGGAGGCTCTTATAGATAAGTCCCCATTGACACAGAGCTAAGCGTGACAAGTCACTCAAAACAAGAAATACCATTTGCTTGCCTTGAGCGTGACAAGACAAGGAACCCCATTCATTTCTACGACCCGTGTTCACACCTGAGTGTTTTGTCGCATGCAGAAAACCCCCCGATGCTGCAAAAAGTACATGAGCTACATTGTTGGCAGATTACAGAGCTTTTTGGTCCAACAGACTTTAATGGCAAACTTTGTGCAACAAAATGTGCAAAAACACTTGAAACAGGCGTTTCCAGACATTTCCCATTGAGGTCTATGGGACCAAAAAATGCTGTAATCCGCCAAAAAAATAAAAAATGGGGCGTGTCTGTATATTTCTGCAACGCACTGTATGGACATTGCACAGTACTACAGCTTTTGTTATACACACTGAATGTCAGGCCTCGGATCTCTATCACAATTTAGTCACTCCCAGCTTTTGCTCCATTGTGTTTTATTTTCTTATCACCCGATAAATTGTTCTCCAAAAAAGGAAGGAAGGAAGGAAAGGAAGGAGGGGGAGAAAGGAAGTAGGGGGAGAAGGGAAGGAGGGGGATTTTGGAGGGGGAGAAAGGAAGGAGGGGGAGAAAGGAAGGAAAGGAAAGGAAGGAGCGGGAGAAAGGAAGGAGGGTAGAAAGGAAGTAAGAAAGAAAGGAGGGGGAGGAAAGGAAAAAAGAAAGGGACAGGAGGGAAATAAGAAAGGAAGGGAAGAATAAAGGATGCATGGGAGGAAGGAAGGAACGAAAGAATAGAAAGAAAGAAAAGAGGGAGGAAGGAAGGAGAGAGGGATGGAGGAAGGAGGGTGGAGGATGGAAGGAGGTGAAAGAGAAGGAACAGAAAGGGAAAGGAAAATAGGAAAGAAGGAGAGAGAGATAAAAGAAGGTGGGGGAAGGGAAAAAGAAAAAGGTTTTTCTTTGTTACAAGATAACACTGTATGGAATCATGCAGACAATACATCTGAAACATCTTGAAACACTTGGTAATTATGGTGAAGAGTAGGAACTTTGCATCCCAGTTGCAGAACTTTTTATAGTATAGTTGACCGGAAGTCAACTGTGTGCTGGAAACTGTCCTTCAAGATTGGGCTTTAATATATATATATAAAATATTCCATCCTTGTCAGGATGGAATGTAAATATAAACCGTGTGTATATATACTCACAGTTTGTATTTATATTCCATCCTGACAAGCCAAGCCTTATACAACTTCTCCATGTCATAGTGACACCTGTAAGTAGATCATTTGTAAAGACCAAATCCGCTTTAGCCATCCCGGGTGACACAAATCATTTATGCAGCAGAGTTTACAACATGGCCGCTGGCTGTGACCTGACCGGGTGGCACAGAGATACGTGATTCGCAGTGGCAGAATGTGACAGGTACTCCATTCAATTCGGCGCAGAGCGTTACACAGATGAGACCGAGCATTGAGCTAGGACATGGGTGCTACTTTGCACCACACTAGTTCCAACACTCGAAGCTGCTGCTATTTTCACTCTGCCTGTGAAAACAGAATAGCTTTAGGATGTGTAACCCACAGGGACATTCAGAAATAACCTTTACTGCCAATATCTCCGGAGAAGATAAAAAATGCACATAAAAATTGCTCACTGTGTGAGAATACTTTTTTTTTTAGGGCTCATTAACTTTCTCCAGTCATATATTATTTCTGAAGAATTCCTCTCTTCTTCCACCCACAAATTATGAAATATTGATGCTTTGCTTGTGCAATCTTTCAGCAAAAACAAAACAAAATTATCTTTTTGGTCACTTGAATGTCTGTCAACATTGTGCCATTGTAAATTAGAACTGAAAATATATTTTTGTGTTTTTAAATGTATTTAACAGTTGCAACATTTGATTGGATGTTACTTTGCTCTTCTAATGAGCCCCAAATTGAGAATTTTTATTTTTTTGGAAATTTTGGTGAAAATCTTGACATTTTGGCAAAATTCCACCATGTAGGCTATATGTAATGGATCCAGTTGTGGAACAGAAATTAGCTTGATTTTTTCTCACATTCAAACTTCTCTGGGGTGTTATGGTGCGTGTTACCATGTTGTATTAAGGCAACCTATGTATTATGAATGGGCTGTTGACCCAAGGCTGAAAATGTATTGGTAGGTTAACTGTCTGTACAGTATGTAGCCAAAAAGCCTGTGGATACCCAACCGTCATAACTAGATGAGCTTATTAGACATCCCATTCCAACACCATGGGCATTCATTTCCAGTCCTCCTCTAAGAGCCTCCAATCTTCTGGGAAGGCTTTTAACAATATTTTGGAGCATGGCTGTGGGAATTTGTGGCCATCCAGCCCAAAAAAACATTTATGAGGTCCAGTTCTGATGTTTGATGAGATCTGGCTCATAATCAGCATTTCAATTCATCCCAAAGGTGTTCAGAAGGGTTGAGGTCGGGGCTCTGTGCACGTCACTTATGTTCCTCCACTCCAAACTAATCAAACCATGTTTTTATGGAACTGGCTTTGGCATAGGAATACAGTCATATTGCAACATAAAAGGGCCTTCCCCAAAACTGTTGTTACAATTGTCTTTGATGCTGTAGCATTAACAGCACCATTTAATGGAAGCACCTGAACTCAATAGAGCTTTTGGTCATATAGTTTATGTTCATAGTAAGGAGCCCACACTGTACTTTCCTTTACTGAATGGTCAATGTGTAGAGGTGGAGCCACCATGCTAGTTATGTACTATGCATGAGATGGCTGGGGGGTGGGGCTGGGGGGGTAGGGGGGCACTTGCCCCCTGGGACAGTAGTAATAAAATATGGGCCATGGCCCTGAGTAGAAACACTTTACCATTCAGACATTGATCAGAGCACATGGTGGGCATTATATAGCTATCTGCTTTCACATTTGGACCGGTGATCACAGTGACTGGCAATAGGAATTCCTCCAGCACCAACTGTCTTTGTGGCTCTGAGATATCAAGTGACTGAATGCAAAGCGCTGCAAAGGAAGCTGATGCTGAGAAGTAGACATGTGCGATTCGTTTCGTTCCGAAGACAGACATAACGAATGCAAACGAATCCGAATTTCCATTTCCGAAATTCGGTAGCGTTCGTACGAACGTTCGTTTCGTTTTCTGTTCTTATTCGTTTCTTATTCGTTTCTTATTCGTTTCGTTCGTTGGAGCAAAGTGACATTAGAGGAGAAAAATATTTTTTCCCCCTCAAATGTCACTTTTGCTGCAAACGAACGAAACGAATAAGAAACGAATAAGAACAGAAAACGAAACGAACGTTCGTACGAACGCTACCGAATTTCGTCCGAATCCGAATCTGAATTGACTTTCACACCCGAATCCTGAAAAACGAAATAACACAAATCCGAATTTAAAACGAAACGAAACGAATTTTTTGGCAGTGCACATGTCTACTGAGAAGTGTAAAAAGGTATATCACAATAAACCATGTCCCATAGGTACACCCACCTTTCACCATGCCCATCAATCAGTGAGGCACCATGGTGCAGTTATTTTAGTCCACAAATATCTGCCCCTACTATGAAAGGGCTAGTTGATTGTAATTGCCCCCACAGGCCAATGGTTTCCAGTCTTGCCCTGCTACTGTGCAACCCTACGGACCCAATATAAATGGATAAAGTAAATAAATACTGATGAGCTGACGTTACAGAAACAACTGCTCACTATAGTCACCCACCTGGCTAAATCCACATCTCATCTTACCAGCTATCAACTCATAAATCAAACATGCAGACACCAGTTGCTTTATAGGTTTGCTTTATATATTGAATTTTATACATTGAATGATTTTTAAGACAACTGTGTTGAAAAACAAAAAAAAGCAGAATAGAAAAGCTCTTTATCATGTACACATTTTATCAGTGTTATCCAAATCGTAACCCTACTGAGCATTCCGTCATACTTAAAGCCTGGACCTCTTCCTTTTGTTTTGACATATCTGATATTCTAAAGCAAACTAGTAAATTGATCACGTCTGTAAAAAAATACATTTAACTTTTTCCACTATGCCTTTAGGGGCTCTTGAAGCATCGACTCTTACTATATTCTGTATTACTACATTTAAAGCCGATCCCCTGAAGAACCATAGAAACAACTCAGTAGAGAAAAGGCCGGTGTCTATGAAATGCTACATCTACACTGGGAGACTTCAATAAACATGACTGTTCCTTCATGACTGCAAATTAGATACTTCTAGTGGATGAAAATATAGAACAACAAAAATAATTTAGAGACTCTTCTCTCTCAAAGGCAACAATTTCAGCATCTGAGACTGGTTCCCAGAAGTGGGGGACTTGCCCCAGTGACCAATCCGCTACCTTGTTTTAGTTTCCCAGAGAAATAAAGATGCAAGTGATTGGCCACTATTGACCAGTCCACCATTATTTTGGACAACTTTCATCCCTCTAGACCTGACAGCCTTGGCCTTTGTAGGAAAGGTCATACTAGGCTTTAAGGAAAATGAACATTTTGTCTAATGAAAAGTCTTCGATTGTCAACCATACCAGTGAATATTACTTTCAACTACCGTATTGTTTTTGGTAACAGGAGACACGTTTGTATAACCTTCCACGTTAGTAAGTCTTTTTTTATATTTATTTTTGTTACACAACTAAAACAGCTCTTCGGTTCTAACAAGGCTAAACTCTACTGTTGGCTTTCAGCAGTGGTCCAGATACTTTTAATGTCCATTGTTCCGCAAACAAATGTCTTCCTCCTTTGTGGACATACCACTGCCATCGACTTAAGTTGCCTTCCATTTTAAGCTAGCACTATTACTCTGCTGATAACCATACTGATCCATTGATTTTGGGCTTGTGTTTCACATAACTAGAGATGTTCAGGCACTTTTACCACCCCCAACGATGTTGGTTTCGTCAATTAAAAGGTTATTTTTTTCAAGCATCCTCCAAGATACAAAGAGCTTCCACAGCACTGCTGGGTCCCTGTGCCACACCACCAATCACAAACAGCATGTTGCTGGACTGAAGACTCGAGCAGGAACATCGTCCGGTCGGCATCGATGGCAAAATCTCCCACCTCTTCTTCACCATGTTGAAGCCTTCTACGGAGGTCAACGGAGAAGGCTGATTGCCTGTAATGGGAAAGGAAGGAGCAAAAGCAAAACTTTATATTTGTACAATTTTTTGGGATGTGTTTTCAACGTAAAGTCCTCATACAGTATGTCCTGGGTTAGTGATTCAAAATATGAAGTACAGGCAGTCCCTGGGTTACGAACAAGATAGGGTCTGTAGGTTTGTTCTTAAGTGGAATTTGTATGTAAGTTGGAACAGGCCCATTTTTTTAAGTGTAACTCCAGCCAAAAAACATTTTTTTTAGTTTAGGATAGCATAGGGAAGGGTTAACCCCCTGTAACATTTGTTTTGCTGTCCTCACAGTGGCTCTAACCCCACACCATACTAACGAAAACTAAAATAATAAAATTTGCCTGGAGTTCTACTTTAAATGCAACTTGGAAAGATGTTTGTACAATTTCCTGTAATGTACAGTACCAGACCCGGAAGAAGAGGCGAGCACTCCTCGTCTGCACAACTTCCTGTAATGTACAGGAGGTACAGTACTACGAACCAGACCCACTCCTCGTCTGCATGTCTAACAACTTCCTGTAATGTACAGTACTACGAACCAGACCCACTCCTCGTCTGCACGTCTAACAACTTCCTGTAATGTACAGAACTACGAACCAGACGTACACCTTGTCTGCACGTCTAACAACTTCCTGTAATGTACAGGAGGTACAGTACTACGAACCAGACCCACTCCTCGTCTGCACGTCTAACAACTTCCTGTAACGTACAGTACTACGAAACAGACCCGCTCCTTGTCTGCACGTCTAACAACGTCCTGCAATGTACAGTACTACGAAACAGACCCGCTCCTTGTCTGCACGTCTAACAACTTCCTGTAATGTACAGTACTACGAACCAGACCCACTCCTTGTCTGCACGTCTAACAACTTCCTGTAATGTACAGTACTACGAACCAGACCCACTCCTTGTCTGCAGACTAACAACTTCCTGTAATGTGCAGTACTAGGAACCAGACCCGCTCCTTGTCTGCACGTCTAACAACTTCCTGTAATGTGCAGGAGGTACAGTACTACAAACCAGATCCACTCCTCATCTGCACGTCTAACAACTTCCTGTTGTGTACAGGAGGTAAAGTACTGCGAACATCGGCACGAGCACGGTAGCATTACAACTAGTGGAACAGCCTGGGACCTCTGTTTGTAAGTACGAGTCGTACGTAACTCGGATGTTCGCAACTCGGGGACTGCCTGTAAAAGGATAAGTTTAAAGCACCCCTCCTTCCAAAAAAATACACTGAAACCTGCCCATCTTATTGACTCCCTCCTTCTTCGAACATAGCCTACCTCCTCAATACTGTGTCTGCATTTTAAAAAGGCATCAGTAGGTACAGAGCTTACGGCATACATAGAAATAAGTGACCCGATTAACATGCGATAATGCATTTACTGAAAGTTTATTGTATTCCTGCACTGGGCGAAGTTTGTATTGCACAAAAAAAGGTCAGGCTTTGCGGAGTAGAAAAAAGAATGCTCTCTATCTCTCTTTGGGTGGCAATGCAGCGGCTAAGCCTCCTCGCGTTTTCCTAGACAATGACCGTTGCTATGGAAATCCACAGCGCTAGCTCTCCTTATTCAATAATCCCATCTTATTCATGTTTTTCTGCTTGGAACACTTAGTCAACACAGGCTAAGTACATTCTCTGCAGCTCCCGGGCTATTTAATTAGACATCACTGGTACAAATCAGCCGTTCTCGCAGTATTGGCGTCTTTATGTCTCGCTGAAGAGTGTTTACGAGTAGCAGAGTTGGAGTTGTATTGATCTATAATATATTTTTTTCCTCTGGCATGTTTCTACCTGTAGTGGAAAAGGACACGTAGTCACCCCTCACTCCTCATCTCCTGCAGATTCTGACCGGTGAAGCTAACCTCCATGTAATAATTGGAGGGTCACTTTGGCCTTCATTAAAGTACAGTTAAAGGAGAACTATGGGGGTAAGTCTTTTCCCCATAGTTCTCCTTAGGGTAACGGGAGGACACAAACTAGCGTCCTCCCGTCACCCTAGGCTCAGTATACAGCGAGCTGTAGCTCACGGTATACTGAGGCGCCGCAGCTGAAGCGGATCCCGACAATTATGCCGGGATCCGCCCAGCTGCGTGACTGACAGCTGGCTCTGCCTATCTAGAGGCAGAGCCAGCTGTACCCGCCCCCTCTCCCATCCGTTCTGCCAGTCAGCGCTGGCGGATCGGAGCGGGGAGGGGGGAATCCAGCCCCTCCCCTGTCACGGCAGAGAGCCGTGACAGGATCGAGAGGTGAGCGAACGCCGGTATGTGTTCGCTCACCTCCCGATCTACTGAGCCGACCTGTGACAGTCTCATTGTCACAGGTCGGCTAAAACTATGAGGTGAGTGAAAAGCACTCACCTCATAGTTCTCCTTTAAAGGTTTCTGCATGACAGTCTAAACTGGTCCCAAATCCAATTACTATGTGATGCACAAAAAAACTAAAAGCGACCTTTACCTTCCTTAACTGAGCTAAATTCTCCTTTATTTGTGTTTCAAACTAGACATGTGCACCAGCAAAACATTAGTTTAGTTTCGTTTTGATTCGGATTTTGCATTATTTCGTTTTTTCGGATTCGGGTCCAAAATTTACTTCGTTTCGGGATTCGGGATTCAGGTCGATAGTTTGTTTGTTTCGTTTTCGTTTCGTTCGTTCATGGCAGCAAAGTGACATTTGAGGGGGGAAAAAAACGTTTGTTTTTTTTTAGTCTGCAGAAGATGGGGAAAAAAAGCGTGAGGTTCCACCCCAATTCATACCAGACCTTTTAGGTATGAATTTGGGGGAACCTCACGCTTTTTTTTTTTATCTTCTGCAGACTAAAAAAAAATATATATATTTTTTTTTTCTAATGTCATTTTGCTGCAATAAACAAAATTTCGTCCAGACTACCGCTAACAAATTTCGGGATATTGGAAATTCGGATTCGTTTGCATTCGTTTTAGCTGTAATTCGGATACATCTGAATCTCCGAATTTCCGAAACGAATCGCACATGTCTATTTCAAACGCTCCCTCTCCCAGACACTGCGGCTCACAGTGGGAGGGTTTCAGCAACAGAGGCAGTGCTGTCAATCCAGAAAGCAATGGGCAGGGCTAGGCGTGGCCAGGTGATGAATGACAAGCTACAGGTTTGTGAGCAGTGACAATACTGATAGACACGGACCCTGCAACATCTTCTCATCCCACTGTAGAAGATACAGCCTACATGAGGATGACAACTCTGCTGTGAATTCAGGAGCAGTGAAGCATCGCTGCCACCCCATCACAGCACCTGCATTAGGGGAATCTCATTGGCAGGCTCAAAAGGTAATTGAGGGACTTCGCAGGGGGATTCAGAAAAGTCTATGAGTGCAGATGTACTAATATTAAATGCTGTAGCACATTTTTTTGGGGGGATGTTTGTATGTGACTGGAGCCCTTCACTGTCTCAGTCACAGCTTCTCATCCCCACAGTGCCGAAAATGCAAACCCCTCTAAAAGAGATGCCCCAGCACTGGCCACAAGTGCTAAATAGTAATGGTAAATACAGGTTTGCTCATTGGCTCTTATGAGGAGATCGCCTAACATCTGCTGAATAGGTTTAAAGAAGCTTTCTGAGTGTCTGAGCATTACTTTTAGAGAGAATGCAGTCACATGTGGACATAAAGCTGAAATTTGGGCTAAACAAAAATGGTCTAAATGCAAAGAGCCAAATATACTTGAATCTTGTTGTCCTTTGTGTATCTCAATGAACAAAGCCTGCACTTTGCCTCTGTGCAGGAGCTTCCTGTAATGAAGACCGGTCACTGCTGTTCTCTCTCCCTGTGCAGGGTGACTGGTCTTGTCTCCGCCCCCTCCTGTAATAAAGATCAGTCACTGCTCCTCTCTCTCCCGGTGCAGGGTGACTGGTCTTGTCTCCGCCCCCTCCTGTAATAAAGACTGGTCACTGCTCCTCTCTCTCCCTGTGCAGGGTGACTGGTCGTGTCTCGCCCCCTCCTGTATTAAAGACCGGTCACAGCTCCTTTCTCTCCCTGTGCAGGGTGACTGGTCGTGTCTCTGCCCCCTCCTGTATTAAAGACCGGTCACAGCTCCTTTCTCTCCCTGTGAAGGGTGACTGGTCTTGTCTCTGCCCCCTCCTGTAATTTTCAATAGGCAGCCTGTACATGCTTTGCACAGTACAGTGATGATGTTACTGATGCTTTTATAAGGTAATGTCTGGGTTTGAAAAGGTTTTTGACCCAGACAAGTACATACAAGTAGATGTACTGTGTATATCCTTTATGGCTATTAATATAGTTAAATAAAGGTCCATGGTTCAGCTCCCAGTGTTGCTGCAAATACACACTTCCCAGTATAAATAAATGAACTGAAACAGAGGCCCCGATCCTGACGTGTCTTTCGGCAATCTGTCACCATGAACCCGCTTCATCTACTGCGACCTCTCCTGCTACTCCCCTGTGATTCTTGGCTGGATACTTACTCCAGGCAGTAATTTCACCTCGCTCTAAAGAAAACCTTCTACTTGTCGTCAGAATGAAAGTCTGCAGTAGATAAATTGATTTCCCAGAAAAGGTAGGAAATTAGTTTTCTTTCTACCCCAGACCAGTTTTCTGCAAGTCATTATTTTTCTTCATTGTAACAAAAAAAAAGCACAAAAAAAAAACCTTTTTAACTATAGTGATTGATAAATGACCTCTTTGGAACACCTGCACGAGAAGCTTCCATCATATCAATCTTCACAGACAAAAATCCATTTCAATTAAAAAAGAAGGAATGTTGTATCAAAACAAGACACTGTAAAAAGTGCTGAATAGAAACAACAAACACTTACTGTATATACCTGTATTCAATGGCACCCAATGAAAGACGGAAATAAACAACTTTCCAGGACCCAAAAATTGTTCATTTCCATTTTTCTTTGGTTGCTGGCTCTATCTAATCCCCTAAGAGATTCTTCTATCTCGTTCTCTGTTGCTTTTTCCCTTTCCTTCAGTATTGCCTAGTTTGCCTAGGGCGGCACCTTGCTGGGGGCCGGCCATAGTCAAACGCCTTGTTCTACGGTGTGTAAGGCCTGGTTCACACCTGAACGTTTTGTAACACCCCCCAATTGGTTCTGAGGAAGGAGGCTTGACCTCTGAAACGCGTAAACCACTTCACTACCAGGGAAGACGAACAGCCGGTGGATATGCACCTTTCGTTCTGACCCTTTTATGCCTGTTTTTATTCGTCCTTTGTGAGTACCTTTATACCATTTTTTATTCGTTTATTAAAAAGTTTTTATGCGGTGGAGGCGCTCTCTGTGTCTTGTCTTGCAGTTTTGTAGCGCGTTCAACGCTTGACGAACGCTCTACAAAAGGCTCAAACATCTAAATCCCATTGTATTCAATCGGTCTGGTTCACACCTTGCCTTATTTCCGCCCGTCCGAACGCGTTACAAAACGGCCTACGCCCAAAGAAGTACATGTACTTCTTTGGGGCGTTTTGGTCTCGTGTTTCCATTGGGATACAGCCAAGTAGCCACGGAAACACGCGTTTGTCGCACGTTTTTTTTACCGTGAATCGTGGTAATAGAGAAAAACATAGACACACCACTGAACTTATGCGCAGCATAACGTGATACACTCAATGCGACGTTTCGGGGGTCTCATAGGATCCTCTTCATCAGGCACCTTGTTCTTGTTGTTCATCACTTGTTCTGCCTGATGAAGGGGATCCTGTGAGACCACGAAATATTGCATTGAGTGTATCACGTTATGCTGCTCATACGTCAATAAACAGACGTATTTGACTTGCTATTGGGGTGCCGGTGTCTATATATTTAGTTTTCTATTTGACCACGGTTACGAACCGTCGACAGCCGCAGCACCCACCCCCATTATCTTTGGAACAGAGCTTTCGAGTGCGATGGGATCATGGACTTTACTCTTCTTTCAATATATAATTCCGGAATAACACTTATTATTTGGGAATATATACAGTATATATACTAGGGATGCACCGATAACGGTTTTTCGGTATTGAGTACGAGTACCAATTTTATGCTTTCGGTATACGCCGATACAGAATTCCCATACCAGTGCTTCCTCTGGCATGGAGCCGGCTTCCCGGGCAATCAGGAAACCGGGAGGCGGGTCATTACTCGCTACCCGGCCTCCTGATTCCCTGGGAAGCCAGGTCAGTTTGGGTGTGCAGTATGACAGCGTACGGCCGCGTCCTCCCCTAGGGAAAAACAGGCTGCTGTGTGCAATCACACGCAGTGCCTGTTCCTCCTGGGAATGGCCCGATACGGCCGTGCACGCCTCACAGATGTGTTCGGCCCGACTTAACGCTGTATGAATAAGGTATAAGGCCTCATTCACACGAGAAAAGGCCGGCACGTACAGCTCCGTGCTGCATGCACGGCCATATCAGGCAGCTCCCGGGAAGGACAGGTGCAGCACCCGTCCTTCTCTATGGGAGTACGTGCCCGTACGCCCCCCTACGCTCACCCCAAGTGCAGGTCCGTGCGGGTGTGGGTGTCCGTACTCATACGCTGACAGGATGGATCCTGTCTGCATTCGAGCCGGGACACCCGCACCGGTATGGACTTGCACTTGGAATGAGCGTAGGGCGTCGTACGGCCGCATACTCCCATAGAGAAGGACGGGGGCTGTGTACTAATCACACGCGGCACCTGTCCTTCCCGGGAGCTGCCCGATACGGCCGTGCATGCAGCACGGAGCTGTACCTACCGGCCTTTTCTCATGTGAGTGAGGCCTTAGTCTTCCAATGAGGACCCCTGTTCCAGTTGTAGAGATTTCCTCTTACTTCCTGTTATATCTCTGGGACAGGAAGTAAAGGAAAATCTCCTTTATGGCACAGAGACAAGAAAAGCTAAACTGACAAGGTGTTGAACCCTCCCTACTCTATCCAAAACTAAGAAAAAGTCTTGGCTATACATACTGTACACGCTAAGAACCATCGCTATTCCCGACTTTTAGCTCAGAAGTTATTCTATTCTGTTTTTTTCACACTTTCTTGAGGATCTCTTAATGATATCTGCTCCCACTGGTTCCCGAAACACTTTAATGCTGTATTGCAGATCCAATTTTAACTATGTGCATAATAATATCATATAAATGTCTTACAATGACTCATTCCTGGGATTCCACAGTACAACTGGTCAGTCAACTAGTAAGAAAATGAATAAAACGCATTGACTGACTCCTCATTTTTTAAAATAATTTTTCTTTTAAATCATAATTTTGCATTGTGAAACAAAGTTCATCCTAATACTCAATAAATTAAGCACACCAGGATCCCCAAAAGTTATTACAACATACAATGCTAGAAGGTTAAAACTGAATGGCTGTGTAGTGGAGCATAAGCTGCTGAGACAAATTAGGACATCGCCTTAATAAATCCAGCAGCTGCCATCAGGAATTAGACTTCACGATGAGAATGGGATTTAATGAATTGGAAATTTAAGCTTTTTTTTCCGCCCCCCCCCCCCACCCCATGGAGATTTCATCAGCTATTAACAAGATGTCTCCAGTTGGGTTTTCATAAACGGATGCGGTAGCGTTGCTGGAAACATTGTTCCTCCAGTGAAGAGATGTTATTATGAAACACTCGAGTTGTTCCGTAGATTATATTTCATTGCGGCTCTCTGCTACTTGACCTCTTGCAGAGAAGCCGGAAACAAAGTTACTATAATGTTTGTATTACTTTTCTATAGACAATGGGAGGGGGAGGGGAGGGGGGTTATCAAAACCAGAGCAGTTGCCCAAAGTAACCAATCAGCTTCTCTCTTCAGTTTGTTCAGTTAAGCTTTGAAAATGAAAGATAGAAGCTGATTGTAGTCTTTTGGTATTGAGTACGAGTACTAATATTCTTTTGTTGGTACTTGCCGATACCGAGTACCACTGGCGCGTGCCCAGATTATCAGGAAGTCAGGGCATGCGGCACAGGAAGTCATATTCGTCACCCGGCTTCCTGATTGCCTATGAAGCCGGTATTCTAGCGAAAGAACGCTTGCCGAGGCTGCCTGGCTTCCTGACCAAGCAGGAAGCCGGTTGGCGAGTCATAAGGTGCCGTCCGGCTTCCTGATTGCTCAGGAAGTCAGGCTGCTTACCAACAAGTGAAGCTGGTCCCCAGTCTATCCAAAACTAAAAAAAAAAGACTTCTGGGCTCAGATACATTTTAACATGTTAAATCTAATATAAGATTTTAGTGATTGGGTTAAGGACAGTGGGCGGAGCCATGCAAATCATCTTACTCCCCCTGAACCGAACCTGCATGCAGAACTACTACTAATATCAATAATGACATTCAACTATAAATATAAACACGGGGCCTCTTTGTGAAACGCGTCTCTTGCATTTTTCATTTCACACATACGCAGACATTGTATCATAGCAAAACATCCTAGAGGCACGGCCGGCTTAAACTCCTATTTAAAGTGGATGTAATGTGTATTTATACTTAAACCCAGACGAAGCCGGGCGCTCTGGGTAATGCGCGTCATTAATTGCACTCTGTCAGTTAAAAATGGAAACACATTCGGAGATAAATTAGGGGATAATCTGGTAAACTGACTCTCCTAGGCTGTTATTTTTAGCAGCCAGAAGTATTGATGATGTAATGTTGAAATCGGATCGTCGTCTCTGCTTCACTACTTGGAGCGAAGGGGCTCTTTAGTTTAAAGTGAACCTGTGCTTGATGCATGCAGAGCAAACCAACAAAATGAATTTAAATCTGGTTCCTGCGGGTGGTTATACTTATTTTCCTTTGCTGCTGCTGGTAAATTTGCTCTGGGAAGTCAAGTGTATATAATATAGCCATTACTTCTCAGTATGGTCTGCAGCACCATACTGTAATTGCGGATTCATGACACCCTGCACTCACAGTATTCCCTCAGTCTTCAAGATTGAGTGATGCTGGGCATTATTCAATCCCAAACACTAAGGGGTCTATTCACAAAGCTGCCGAGGGCAGCTGAGTGAATGACCGATCAGAAGTGAAGTGAGCCGAACACTGTTCGGCTATTCACTTCAGGCTGGTGCGGCTGATTTCAGCCATACATCGGCTTGCTTCGTGTGGCTTCGGATCAGCCGAACATGCGCAGCATGTTCGGCTAACCCGAAGTGCAGAAGGAGTTCGACTCAGCCGATCCAACATCTGGATCGGCTGAGCCGAACCTCCGGCAGGCTTCTCACTGCTGTTCGGGCTATTCTGAAAGATCCCGAATAAAAGGAATCACGGCCGGGCCGACAAAACGGCAGGAAAATGTCACTTTTGGCATTTTGCCGAAAGTGCCATTTTCGGCTGGCGCCCCCCCTTCACTTTTCGCCCGGGGCCCGCGCCCCTGCTGACCCCCGGTTGTTACGCCACTGTACCCACTACCATCTGATAATTCATTTTTAAGGGTAGATGTGGTCTGATTGGGTGATCCACCAGCTGTTTCCCAAAGACTTGAATGGTATCGTTCTACTTTACTTAAACAGCAGGTGGGTGGGGGGAGTTTGGGTGTTGAGAGGGGGAAAAAAGTGGTGGGTATAATCACATATTCCCAAATTCACCTGGGAAAGTGGGATTACCCTTTAAGTGAACCTATGTATTGCCTACAAACTCTTGCATGGAATTAAAGGAGAACTCTCTGCCTCTAGATAGGCAGAGCCAGCTGTCACTCACGCAGCTGGGCGGATCCCGTCATCTAAGTCAGGATCCACTCCGGCTGCGGCGTCTCAGTATACCGCGAGCTGTAGCTCGCGGTATACTGAGCTTAGGGTGACGGGAGGACGCTAGTTTGTGTTCTCCCGTTACCCTAAGGAGAACTATGGGGAAAAACACTGACCCCATAGTTCTCCTTTAAGGCGTTGCATCTATTGAATACACAGGGATGTATTCTTAGATAGGTCAGTTTATATAGGTCGTAGTTGGGCGACTCACCGAGTCCTCCTGCAGCAATCACGCGGCCCCCCAAGTACCCAGCGACAAAGTCGGCTCTCTTCTCCCTCATGCGGGTGGACCGCCCGGGTTTGCTCCAGACACCTGCAAATAAGAAGACAAAAATAAAACCATTGTTCAGAGAATGTCAGCGAGAGCGTTCACAGCAATTTTTTTCCCTGTAGATTTCAATTTGTTTTTAGCAGAAAAGTTTGCCGCACGAGGGGGAGCAATAACCACAAGGAACACGGAGTACGGTTAAGAGGCACGAATATCACACAGAGATCATCTGACAGGATGATGATGATATTTCAGCTACAACTGTCAGGTCTCCTAAGCGGTTTTTATTCTCGGCGAGGTGCGCTATTCTGAACGACCGCGGCTGTCATCTGCAAACAAATAAATCTATTTCAAGGGGGCTTTGGTGTACTTATTACAATAACTGCAATATCAACTACGTCAGGTGTCTATGGCAACCTTAAGTTTCAACTTTTTCTTTTTTTTTTTTGGCATCCTCCCGCGACATAACTTTTCTCTAAAACAGAAACAATATGTTATTTTATGACTCATTAAGCACAGCAGTCGCAGCATTTCACATTGCAAGCTAATGGGGGATACAATGAACACAAGGTGGTGAAAATTTAGCTTCTCTGCAGGATTTTGGGGCTTTCGTGAATTTCTGAGAGGTTTAATTGCTGGACCACAATGTAGGAGATGTCAAGCGATGTTCATAATGGAGAAAGGGCTTCTGGGTAAACATTAAGTGAAAGGACAGCTACCCCTTCTGTCTGGGGATGAGAACACCACATCACCACATCAGTGGTTGTGGGGTACTCCCCAGTTGTATTGAGCCCTAGGCTCAATACATTGTTACATTGTTATATTGTTACAGTAAGAGCTGCGAAAATGTGGAATGATCCTCCAGAACCTTGGTTCTCAACTGGTGGGTCGTGACCCAAAAGTTGATCGTGACCCCATATTCAGTGGGTCGCCTCGTGCCTTCCACTTTTCTAGGTGAGAGGCTTCACAGAATCCCCCTAGCGCAGCACTGTCAGTTCTTGCGCCGAGCAGCCATTCGAAATATGCTGCCCGGTGCCGAGTGTCAGCTTGAGGTGGGGGTGGGCTGGAGCTATGGCCGCAAGGAAGTTCTAGCCATACATGCATTTGAATGGCACCCCAAATGTACCTCTCGCCCAGAGTTCAATCGCCCGCACAGGAACGCGCGATACCGAAATGCCGTGCATTCAGTTGCAGAGTGACTTGGGTTGTGACCTAATGACCAAGGACAAATGTGGGTCCTGAGGTTACACAGGTTGAGAACCACTGCTCCAGAGGACCTAGTTCTAGCCAACGCAGTAGATTGCTTATAAAGGGCTGCACAAAATAAAACTTTATTTATTTTTGTTAATTAACACTGTAAATGTTGATACTGGGAGTAGCCTTTGGGGATCAGGAAGGATTTTGTCCCCCCGTTACAGCAAATTGGACTATATAAATGTTTTTGCTTTCTTCTGGATCAACAATGGGTTTACGGTTCTGAGGCCTGGACTGTTGGGTTTTTTGGTCGAAATTGATGGACTTGTGCCTATTTTTTAACCTGACCATCTGGAGATACATTTCCCATGTCATGAGATGCCACCTGCACCCGTTCAAAATAGGAAGAGGATGATTTTGTCAGAGACGTCCCTGGATAAAACCCATTTCCCGCAGAAGAGCAGCTCCCCCCACCGCTGCGCCTTATCTCCATGTGCCGGAGCAGAGAGCATAATGAAACAGAGCTGAGCAAAATTCAGAATAGTGAAATGCAGGCACTCCCAAGGCTCCATTACTCCCTTGCCTGATTTAGACAATAAGTGAAGCTTTGATGAGCTGTGTTTGCAAATTATCCTCCAAATTCTTCTTTTCAAGTGCTAAAATTATAAACGCAGTCCTATCGCCAGGATGTTTTTCTGCATAATTGTCCTATGCAAAATAGAGTCTCCAGCTAGCTGGTTGCCTGGCGGTTCTTTCTCACATGGACTTGGCATCACCTGAAATATAAATCTGGATCTTCAGTAATTTAAACCTGAACTCCAGGCAGATATAAAAGACACACATTAAGTCAGCTTGGTATTCAATAATGGAGTATTAAATCTATGTTTTATCCCCAAGCAGTGTAATTGCCTGAATTTGCCTTGGTATCAGCTTTAGTTTAGACTAGGAAAAGAAAAAGCAGTACGAGACGCTAATCAGGTGTGTTGTATTGAAAGGAGCTTGCTGATAGGTGGAAAGAGCTGAGTGGCAGAGAGATGAGCTCATCGGTCTGCTGCTTCTCCTTTCATTGTCCAGTCACAGGCTGGGGGAGGGACAAGACCTTTAAGTGTTACTGAATTTCAGCCAAGGAAAATCAGGTCTCCTGCCCTGCCAGACAGGACTGCGCTGTGTGGAAGAGCTGTGCAAATCTCGGAACTGGATGGACAGAAAAACAAATGTAGGTACAACAGCTCCCATGTAAGTATTTAATTTGTGTATTTAGTGGTTTGTCTGGAGTTCAGCTTTAAACATTACACCCTACCATTTAGCAACAATGTTTCTCCCCGTGTCTGAACATGTGGCTAAGCTATAGACACTGTATTTTTGTACATATTATTAGCATTCTGAGCTTTTAAAACAAATCTTTATTGACCTGTGTAGCTGCAGGAATATGGAGTAATTCATCCTCAATGTTCACAGCAAAAGAACTGATGGACTCCTAGTTCTTCTCATCTGCTCAGCCCACTCC